TCCAGATGAATTGAAAGCAAAGAAGTTTACAAAACCAATAGCACTTTTCACGGAAGATGCTCTTTTGAAGATTCGTTCGATGAAACCTGCTGGGGCTCCTCAGATTGGCATAACAACAGCTTCCATCGAGCAGATTTTGGCAGCAGGTCAGTAAGTTGTTCTTGAACTGACTTCTCTCCGTCAAATATTGACAGTACGCCAGTTTTGACATAATATTGTAAGATAAACTTACCTTTAGTAATATCGGTCAGTTTTGAAGTTATATTTTTGTCTGCTTCAAGAACTTTCACCATTTCAGTTATACCAACTTTCTTTGCTTTATGAAAATATTTAGGTTCAGCAAAGACTGCTATTCTATAACATTTTCCATTGTTTGTGTAAAGAACTATTCTGTCAATGTATTTGTATTGTTTGTGAGTATAAACTTTGTTCTGCTTCAATTCAATAAGATATCCGAATACGTCCATCTTTTTATTCTAAGTAAAATGTCATTTCCGAAAAATAGAAGCGTGAGTGTTTCAAAAGGTTTAATGGCGGTGGCAGATGTGAAGTTAAATTCACCAACTCAAACAAACAGTCAAAGTGTTATTGTCAATGTCAAAGACAGAGATGTTGAAGTGGGGAAACCATACGAAGACGAAGATGGTATAACAATTGTTCCTGTAAAAGAACCAACATATCCTGAAGTTAGCAGAGACTTAAGTTCTGTTGCAGATATTCGAAATGACTACCAACAACTTAAAGACAAACTTCAAACTCAGGAAAAGATTTATCAGGCTTTAAGTATAATGTTAAACTTGGTCGAACACAACCCTGTAAAAGTGAACTCATATGTCATTGCACCTCATGAAGTTTTGAAAGAACTATTGAAACTTTTTACAGAGGCAGACGATATAAACATCAAAGAAATAGAACCCGACATTAGTTGCTGTGGTGTTTCATATAATGTCATTGACAAGATATACGTTATGAAAGGAGGTGAAACGTTGAACTTAAAATATAGTTTCCCAGACGTTATAAAAATATTTGACGACCACAACATTTCATTAAAGTTTATTTGCTAAGTAAATGGCAGAAGACATAATGGTTTATACTATTACGACTAAAAACCCGAGTCATATAATTCTATAACAACAAACTTACAAAGTCCTCAAGGACGATATTGTAAACTAACCTTAAACACAATGACGACTAAAGCCTGTTTTGCTCTTTTGATACCAGAAGACTTTATTGTTGTGAATGGTAAAAAATACTCCTTTGAAGATACTTACTCAGATATACCACCAACAGGTTTTGTTGACTTATTTAATACTTTAAGTACGGGTGTAACATGTGCTGCAACTAGAGCAGGTTTCATTATGTTTGGATGTCCGACTGAGTTTACATAAACGATATGAGCTATAATACAAAACTTATTTCTGGTTTTTACTACCAACAGTTTCCTATAACAGGAAAAGGTGTCATACAAGGAATGTCTATTCCATTGACACACCAATCTTATATATTGTTTCAAACTTAGGTTCAAAGTGTTATTCGAATGTCGACAGAAACTATTATGACCAAAAGATACTTATGCGTATAAACAATACTTTCTCTGCTGGTTTGCCTATTGTTCATTCGAATGCAGAATTTTCAACCTTAGTGAACTCAAACACTTTGGCAAGTATAACGTTGACATTAGTTGACGCAAACTTTGTTCCTGTAAAACTTTTATGTCCTATGTATTTGTCAATGACGGCAGAAAGTTTCGAATTGGAAGATGCAACTGGTGAAAGTATTGTATTACAAGAACAACTTCAACAACAAATAGTTCAAGAACAACAAATGCAACAAATGGAACAACAAAGTCAAGAATAAAAAAATATTATTTTTTTATTTTTATAAAAATGTACAGAATAGATGTTTCAGATTTTTATGACTTCCAAGCATTCAGAAATATGTGTCCATTTAGAGACTATAACAAAGCAGTCGAGAATTTGAAACGTTTAGTCATTTATGTTGACTCTGCCCCAGAATGTTATGTCATGAAAGAATGGGATGTTGTCTTTAACAAACCAAGAGCAACAATAGTTTCAGAACAAGAATGTAGACAGAAACTTAAGAAAATAAAAGTTGTACAAGTTGGAATGAAGATGTTAGATGCTTGGGATATCTTATTGTCAAAGTTAGAAGATTTTTCAGTTCGTGGTATAAAGTTCTATACACCTTCTCCAAACTTCTATTCTATCTTCACTGGATATAAATATGAACAAGTAGAATGGAAAGAAAATATTATAGAAGCTTGGTTAGACCATGTCAAAGAAATTATATGCAATGGAAACGAAAAGGTTTATGAGTATATCTTATGTTGGTTTGCAAACATCTTACAACATCCAAGTGCTAAAAATGAAACTGCTCTCATTATAATTGGAAAACAAGGAACTGGTAAGAATACTTTCTTTACAGATATTTTGTGCAAACTGTTAGAAGGTTATTCGAATCCGAATATGACAAACTTAGAAAACATCTGTGGCAAGTTTAACTCCTCAATAGAGAATATGAAACTTATAGTTTGCAATGAACTTCAAAGTATAGATACAACAAAAGTTTTGAACTCAGATGCTTTGAAGAGTCTTATAACAGACAAAGTTGGAGTTGTTGAAAGAAAGTATAAAGACCAAAGAGTTTGTGAAAATGTTGCAAACTTCATTATGGTTTCAAACAATGCTGTTCCGATGAAGTTAGAAAGTTCTGACAGAAGATATGTAGTTGTCAGAACGTCAGATTCTCATATGCAAGATACAGAATATTTTGACGACTTAGCAGAAACTTTGACATCTGACTTTTACAACCACTTGTTCTCATATTTCATGACATTAGATATTTCTAAGTTCAATCCAAGACAAATTCCACATACCGAAGAGAGACAAACATTGTTAGAAGCAAACAAGAGTGTATATGAACTGTTCATAGAAGAAAGCGACTTTGAGTGTTTAGATGAAAAGTCTTTATATGATGAATATAAACAATATTGTCAAGAATATGGTTATATGGCAGCTTCTAAACGTACATTCTTGGCAAATGTCAAAAGTCTTTTAGATGTTCAGAATGGTGTATATACAAAGAAAAATTTTTCTGAGTAAATTTAAAAAAAATATTTTTTTTATCCGATAGAAAAGATGACGAAATTCATCTCAGTAAACAAGTACATGTCAGGACTTAAAGAAGAACTAGACCCATTCACATATTTGAATGTTTACTTCTACCATTTTGAAAAGTCTTCATTCAGCAAAGTTTGGAACATCGAACCAGTTAAGTTTGCTATTGTGACTAAAAATGGTGCGAAATTTGAAGACTTAGACATAGAAGGTTTGTTAACAGTCAAAGAAAGTTTTGACAGAAGGTTCTCAAACCTTAAAGAAGGCAAAGCATACAAACTTGTTATACCTTATGAACCAAAGAAGACAGACGACTATGAATATTATGAGTCTAAAGTTGTAGAAGTTCAAGGTAAATTGGGTAAAAAGATTTTAGAGTCTAAGCCAGTGTTTACTCCTAAAGAGGAAGAGAACATTGACATTGACCCAGAAATGTTCTAAAAATAAAATTTTATTTTTACATGTCAAATTTCTTTTTCTCTGGAACTGGTTCAGGTTCTTTCTTCTCTTCTTCTACTTTCTTTTCTTTCTTTTCTCTCTTCTTCTTTTCTGGTGGAGTTATGTCAAATTTGGCGCAACCATATTTATGTAAAAGTTCTTTGTCCTTTAATAGCTCATCTATTCTGTTTTCTATTTCATCTTCAAGAACAGCGCATGTGTCTTCTTTGCATTCTAAGAACTTTTGTTGGACTTCATCTTTCCAATCGGTGTCATCTCTGTCAACAAGTCTGTCATTGACAAATTTTAAGACTGCTCTGCTTAATGTTTTATGGTTCTTGTCATATTCCCAGAAACAGAACTTTAGAACAAATTCCCCTTTCTTGTTTACACTATGTAAGATTTTATGGTCGACAGATGTTTTGCTGTCGAAAAGCTTGTCTCGAATATAGATAGCGAAATCGCTAGACATTTTCTAAAAGATAAAATTTTTAATTTTTCTAAAAATATGTTAGAAAAAAAGTTTGCTGACATTGACAAGAAATTTGAGAATGTTTTAAACAAGAACAAGAGGAAGTTAGAAAATGCTCAGATAAAGCCTATACATGACAAGTTCTTATTTGCTCAGAATGGTATAACAGGTCTAATTGCACCACCTGGGTCTGGTAAGACTTTCACTTATCTTAAAATGGCTGCACAACAACAAGAACTAGATGAGAAGAACCCATTCTATGAGTTAGTTGTTATTTGTAGTACTTCTGGTCAATTTGACCAAACCGTCAATTCGTTCAAAGATATTATAAAGAAGTCTAAGTTAGTATGTATAAAGGATACTGAGTTGTTAGATTGGATAAAGAAGTACCAAAGAAGAGTTTTGAAGTATAATGCTATAAATGAGTATATAAATTCTAAGTTCAAAGACCCTAATGAGGAAATGCAGAGAATATTAGAGATGAAACACTTCAGAAACAAACAGAAAGAGATAGAATACATTTCGAAGAAATTGCAATCTTACGATTGGAAGACTTACCCTCATAGGTGTCTTCTTATCTTAGATGATTTCGCCTCTCATCCTTTGTTAAAGAATAGAGAACAAGATATGTGTCGAATTCTTAAGAAGCTCAGACACTTTAACATCTCAGTCGTAATATGTGTACAGACAGCAAAGAGTTTAAGTAAGGATGTAAAGAGAATACTTACTGACATTATACTTTTCCCTGATTGTCCGAAGACGATTTCATGGAACTTATGAAAGAGTCCATGGCAGGTAAGTTTGACAGACATGAACTATGGGAGAAGTACAAAGTCATACAAGACCCTCATACTTCTTTCAGAATTCATATCTACGCAAACAAAGTTCAAATTGTAAAAAGTCAATAAAAAAAAGAGTTCATTTACTCTGCTTGTTTGAAGTTGTCAAAATACTCTGTTATTTTTTCTTTCAGTAGCGGTAAGTCTTCTTTGAAGGTAAGTATTGTACAACCTTTCATATCATAGTGTGTTTGAGGTAACGTATCTTGAACTATTTGTTTCACATCTTCATTTGGGGTCATTGAAATCGGTAAGTTTTCGCGATAGAACCAATTTCTGTCAGATTTGTAAATCTTAGCAAGGTCGTAAAAGCTTTTGTTGTTTCTTCTGACTAAATGCAACATAACCATATCTTTATCTTCTTCATTTTCCATCTCTTCAGTATAAATCATATACTTATAGTTCTTTTCCTTTCCTTTTGGTACCGAACGTGGTATTCTTTTCTGAATGCTTTTGTCTTTTGCTTCAAGCTTGTTTTCCATCTCTTCACGTTCTTGTCTATGAATTTCGTCAAGAAGTCTGTAAATATACCAAGCATAACGAGGCGAAGCCCACATTGCAACAGCATTTACAAGAAGTCTATGTACATAATATCCTCTCAAACCGTTTGGCAATTTTTCACGATTTTCATAGAGTTTTGGCGACTGGGGTTTTTCTCCCACTCGAGTTTTTGCGACTACGGGATTTCTCGTAGTCGAATTTTCAGCTTCATTTAATAGTTCAATAGTGCTTTGGTTCCTAAACCAGTCTTGTGGTTTCTTAGTATCTGGAGCAAAACATGCTGTCAAAATACTTTGCATTTGGTACATGTCATCTTTGACTGAACGAATGAGACGGAGTTGTTTGTTAAACTGTATGTACTCGTATTCTTCATTTATAGCTTCATGGACTATAACTGTTGTTGTGTTCTCTGTTGTTGACATTACTGTCTTTACATACAAAATAAAAAAATAAATAAAAATAAAACTAACTTTATTTTTTCTATCTTAAGGAAATTCATGATTTTTGTGCTGAATTCAATAAAAATATATTTTAGGTGAAGCCCACATTGCAACAGCATTTACAAGAAGTCTATGTACATAATATCCTTTCAAACCAGGAGCCAAATTCTTGCGATTTTCATAGAGTTTTGGCGACTGGGTTTTTTTACCTACTCGCTGTTCTTCACTGTTTTCCGAGGGAAGCAAGCATATGAGGAAATTCATGATTTTTGTGCTGAATTCAATAAAAATATATTTTAGGTGAAGCCCACATTGCAACAGCATTTACAAGAAGTCTATGTACATAATATCCTTTCAAACCAGGAGCCAAATTCTTGCGATTTTCGTACGGAATCTCTTCTCTCGGTTTTCCGAGGGAAGCAAGCATATGAGGAAATTCATGAAATTTGGTCATTTTTCAGCAAAAATAATGTTTAGGTGAAGAGGTGAGATTTCACCTGTTTTTTCACCTAATTTTTCACCCCAGTTATTTTATAAGCGTTTTACATGGTAAACGTTATTTTTTAAATTTTGTGAAAACTCAACGGTTTGACACATGCCATATGCCATTTTACTCAGAATTTTGTTGCTGAATTCAGCAAAAATATATTTTAGGTGAAGAGGTGAGATTTCACCTCTTTTTTCACCTAATTTTTCACCCCAGTTATTTTATAAGCGTTTTACATGAATTGTACGATGTATATTTGAAATCCTAAACAGTTTCGTAGCTTCTATTTCTTCTTTTAGTACATCGAATGTTTTAACAATGCCGAAAGTTTCTTTATACTTCTTCTTGACGTCGGATAGAAGGAAATCTTCTGCTGTTGGATAGTTTTTGTTCAGAAATTCTAACATGTCCATTTTATTTTCTGCTGGCTTTTCTGCTTCTTTCTTTAAGTCTGCATAGTCGTTTCGCATACGTTCTATCTCTTTTACTGAGTAGTTATATTTCCTAATTGCTGCTTTACATTTAGAACATTGCGGGTTCATTTTTGCGTTATATTCTGAAACCTTACCTGCTAAAACAACTAAGGCGTCAATGGTTTTCTTTAAATCTGAAGCAGTTGGTTTTATCTGTTCATGCCATACCTTACCTCTTCTGTCTTTATCTCTTATCTGCCATACACATTTTGCAGCTAATGAAACAAAGTTGTCGTATGTCTTAAACTCCCCAGATTTATATATGTCAGAGATGTTCTTATATACCATGTCGCAATCTTTGTCCATAACTTTATGGTTGCAATGAAAACCAAGGAATTCATAATTTACCTTTCGTATGAACTTCTTTATTTCTACTGAGTCAGTTGCTTTGACTTCAATTTCATCGAATTCAGGAATAGTTAGTTTTTGTTGTTGGATTTCAGGCAATTTGGGTAAATGGTCGATGAGGTCCTGCATTTCATAAAGATACTGTTCATTTGTTTCATCTTTCGCACTACAGTCTAAATTACTTGTTAAAAGTTCCTGCTTTATCTTCTGGATTTCTGTTTCGAAAGTATATGAAGAAGGAATGAAGCTTTTCATTTCTACTAACATAGATGTTGGATTCATGACTAACGAGTTTGGTGCTGTAGTTGTTTGAATTGTTGTTGTGCCGATTGTTGACATTTCTGTTCTTACATACAAAATAAAAAAATAAATAAAAATAAAACTAACTTTATTTTTTCTATCTTAAGGAAATTCATGAAAATTCAAGAGGGTGAAAAAAGAGGTGAAATCTCACCTCTTCACCTAAATTATATTTTTGGTGTAAATTTCCTAAACTGACTGACTGACTGACTGACGGCACAAAGTGGCATAACGAAAACATTAATATATAAAATTCATGAAAATTCAAGAGGGTGAAAAATGAGGTAAAAAAACAGGTGAAATCTCACCTCTTCACCTAAATTATATTTTTGGTCCGGGAACAACTTTCTCTCAATTGGAGCTGTAGCATACTCTTTGCGTAAGCGGTTCAGACCTTCTTCGAAGTCTTGGTCTCTCTTGGACTGAGATTGGAATTGTTGGGGTGGAGCTTGCTGGAACATCCAAGGGTTGGGGAAGTAAGGCATAGGCTGAGGAGGGTAGTTCGGGAAGCTTTGTGGTGGGTAGTAACCTTGAGGTGGAAATTGGTAGTAATTCGGAGGTACTTGCTGGAACTGAGGTTGCTGAGGAGACTGTTGTGGTTCTTTAGGTTCCTCTGGTTTGGGAATGGACTCGGTTGGTGGGACGTCGGACATTCGTTTGTGTCCTGTCGGAAGGAAAAACTTTTCCTGTCGGAAGGAAGAACTTTTCCTGTCGGAAGGAAGAACTTTTCCTGTCGGAAGGAAATTTTTTTCCCTTTGTCCGGAAAATTTTTTCCTGTCGGATGGAAAATTTTTTCGAAAGTTCGACCAAAAAGTTCTCAATTTTCGAAAATTTGAATGATTTACGGACGGACAACTGGAAGAACTTTTCCTGTCGGAAGGAAAAATTTTTCCCTTTGTCCGGAAAATATTTTCCTGTCGGATGGAAGAGTTCTTCCTGTCGGAAGGAAAAATTTTTCCCTTTGTCCGGAAAATATTTTCCTGTCGGATGGAAGAACTTGGAATGCAAGAAAGACTTGACGAGGCAATTTACCTCATTGAACTTAACGACTGCGTAAAAGACTACTTGCGCAAGGTCATGAAGCCCAAGGTCAAGTTTACCACTATTTCTGGAAGGGCTGCCTTGAATCTCGAGACTTCGACTGGAATTCCAATTCAAATACCAGACGGGACAGCCTACGACGACATAAAGCAAGCAAAGAAAGAAGCTTTTCTCAAGTTCTTTGCAAAGCGCCCATGGATACAACTTCCAAACAGAGAGAGTCCAATTCCACGAATTATACAAATTCTCAGAGCACTGTTCCACTTCTCGGGTCAGCCGTTCTACATAACCTCAGAAGGCGACATCCAACCAGTTCAGTAAACATCTCATTTTAACTCACTTTTTTATGTTTTTTGTGAAAGTGTCAAAAATAAATTGTTTTCATGAGTTTTCTATGATGTTAGAAAAAATGTTATTTTCTAATATCTTCACATTCAATACTTTTTCAGCACTTTTCCGTAGTTATATATGAAAGACAATTCGAGATAAAAGTCATAGTACAATGGAATAATATGTTGCACACCATTTGTTGTGAACCAAACTTGAAAGTCAGAGAAACTGTTACTAGATGGTTCGTAGAATTTAGAAGCAAAGTCATAAAAGTCCTTACCAATACATAGAAAACTATTGTTGCTTGAACTGAAACTTGCATGACACATAACATTTTGAGGGTCAAACACGTTTCTATAAACCATCAAATCTGCTGGTGGAAGTATAAATTTAAATGGACCATCTGGTGGTAATGGTTCGTTCTGGTTTAGTAACCGAAGAAATTGTGCCCAAGAACGTTTGTCTACTTCCCAAAATAAAAACTCTGTATCTCTTGGAGGGTTAATTTCAATCTTTTGAAATGAAACGGTGGAGTTCATCTTGTCATATTCTAGTTTCAGATAGTATGTTCCATTTAGTAAAGAGTCGTATTTTTTTTGAAATTCCCAATAATATTTGTTCATTTGAGTTTGAAAGTCATTTAGAGTTTTCTCAAGACTTTCGTCTGAACGAACTGTAAAGATTCTCATTTCGTCAAATTTGTCTATTAGACCATCAGAACCTTTATACTGCCCATGAAAATATACTGCGAACATAAATGCGTTAGTTCTATTTGAAAACAAAACTCTTCTAAATCCTATTGCCTTTGCATCTGAAGGACTTTGAAGCCAACGAATTGGATAGTCAAACCTGTATGCTCGGGATGAAATTTCTTCATCTGAAATAGTCCTACCAGCATTTGTAAAGATATAGTCTAACGGTTTTGTATCTGCTACTTTTGTTCTTTGTTTTTCAACCTGAAGCATTTAATATATGTAAAAATATATTGTTTTAAAATGGTATGCCATTTCATATTTCTCATCTAACAAACAAGTTTCCCAACGGTCTTCTCCAACAAACTCAGCGTACATTTCAAATAAATTTTTAAAAATGTCACTTTTAAAAAAATAAATTTTTACTTCATGCAATGTTTTATTTCTGTGCCGTCTTCAAGTATGCCCCAATATTTCCTTTTCGATATTACATGAACTTCGGAAAATACCTTATCTAGCTTAAAACAGCCCATCTTTTCACCGACCATTCCCATTTCAATGAGTTTGTTGTATCCTTCTTCGTTCGTCATGAGTGCGTCAATGTTCTCATAGTAAACCTTCACTTTGGATTTGACTTCGGAGAAGAATTTGCTGTAGTTGTCAAGGACTGCCTTTGCGAACTGAGGGTAAGACCAATGTTCGACAATAGGTTTTAATGTGGTTACTAAGCCACTTTGACCTTGAGTGAATTCGTACTTCAAAACAAAAGGAGAAAACCTTTCAACAAAGTTGTCGACCTTCTCATAATGTTTACTCTTCATCTCTTGAGGTTTCTTAATGGAATATCCCCATGTCGAATTCATAAGCAATTTGAGTGTCATTGCAAGTTTGGGGTTTGAAGCTTTCCTAATATCATACAGTTGTTGTATGACTTTTCCAACTGTATAGTTCCTTCCCGGGAACTCACCATCTTCGTTTGGAATTCCAGTCGGAATATATTGGACAAACCTCATGTATGCAGCGTTAAGGTCGACATAGTATATCTTTTCATCTGAGTCGAACTTGTCGCAACCAATTGGTCCAGTTTGTGGAAATTCAAGTGAGTCTCTTATCTTCTGAGAAACTTCTCCTGTTATCTCATAAACATCGTCGAAGCAACCTGTTTCATATAAAACCTTCTGACCTAACTCAGATGCTCTCCAATACAATTTGACGTCAATTGGATGTCTCAATGGAAGTTTGTTTATAGCATCTTGAAGTTCTTTCAACCTCATTGGAAGTTCTTCTGGTTCAGGTTGGTATCCGAACATACCAACCCCTTGTGGAACTGTGTACTTCTTTTGTACTAGAACTTTGTCTGGAACAACTTTTGGTCTTGCTAACAATGAAAAGTTTGTTTCGTCTTTTGGTACAAAACTTTCTGTCAGCTTGTCATCTGGAATTGGTTCCAACAAACCTTTCTCGAAAAGAATGTTTACAGCTCTGACAATGTTGCACTTACTTTTACCAAAGAATGGGTTTGAAAGACTTTCGTTCAACATGAAGTGGTTGTGGACAATTACAATCTTCAACCATGGTAAGTCTTTGTCAACAACATAGTCGTCATGTGAAGAACCTTTAGCTGTAGGTATGTTGACTCGGATATTGACATTTGCCAACGGTGCAATTTTTGCCAATTGACCTCTGAGAATGTACCTTGTCTTCACACATGACTCAAGATACTTCATCTTCTCATCTGTAACAAGACCAGAGTTCCTGAGACATGTAAGAATGCAAGGTTCGTTGACAATTGTTTCAATTGAATTGTAAATTCCATACCTTGTCAAGTCAATGTCAGACTTATTTATGAACGGGAAGTATCCAGCATGTTGTCTGACTGCTTGAGGGTTAGGTTGGTACCATTCGAACTTGACACTTGCAATTCCTTCAATTGCATTCAAAATGTCTGAGTCGGAGTCAACCATTTGTTCTCTCTTTGTAGTCTTGAAAGCGTCAAGAAGTTTTGCGGCTGTTTGTTCATTGCCATGTGCATAGTAAATGTGACCATCCAAATCTGTTATGGTCAATCTGAGATTGTGTCCTTTCTTATTTCCGTCTTGAATTGCAGCAAGTACACCCATGAAGCCTTCTTTGTTCTTTCCTTCGTCAAAGTTTACTGTAAAGGTTCGACCAGATGTAATTTGACTTCTAACTTCACGATACTTTTCATATGCATATCTTGTTCTTTCCATGGGAGCATGTGCGTCTTCACTTTTTCCTTTTTTCCTTCTCAAAGGATGCAATTGTTCGTCATGTTTCCAGTAGAATCTGGCAAAGCCGTCGTGTCCTTCAACTTGAGGTTCACTAACATCGAAAGGCATGTCCATAAGACGTTCTTCTTCTAACCTCTCTAGTCTGTTTGGATAATTGGCACGTGCTGTTTCCAAATCCATTTCGTAGCGAAGACCAGACAATTTGTCATAGACTTTTATGGGTCTTCCCTTCCTATATTTAAAATTCTTCGAAACTCTCCAACCATATCTTTGTAACTCTGCTTTTATTCTAGCAGACTTTCTGTCCATTCTATATGGGGGCATTTTTATAAAAATAAAAAATATTTTTTTCTTTACTTTACATAACCGCCTGCTGCCATAAGTCTTTGACGCCAACCCATACCAGCTAATGAAGGTTGACTTGGTTTAGTTTGGAAACTAAACTTTGGTTTTGGTTTATCTTCAGTTTTTGGTTTTTCTTCTTCTATCGGTTTTTCGTCACTTTTCGGTTCCTCTGACTTTACTTCACTTGCAGGAACAGTTGTGTCGTCAACATCTTCATAAATATCATATGCCATTTGTTTTTGTTTTCCTTTCAACTTTTTGTGTTTGTTGTAAAGTTTAGAATATTTCGACTCTAAGTCAATGAGATGTTCTATAATGAACTGTTGGTCAGTGAAATAAACTTTTCCATCTGTTGTCTCGAAAGCTCCTTCAGACTTCAATATTTTATTTGTGAGAGTCTGTTTCTTTTTTGAGATACTAGCCGTTCCATTTCTATGAAAAGTGACTTTATAGTTAGGGTTTGTATTTCCAGACCTGGCACTTTCTATTATTGAATTTTTCTCTTCATCTGTAAGTTCTTTGACAGGTTTTGACAATGGTTCTGAACTTTTTGTTTGTGGTGTCAAATCTACCGTTTCAACTTCTTCGGTCATTTCATCTCAGTAAAAAATTTTAGTTTGGTTTGTTTTCAACTGGTTGTTTGGGTTTTTTAAGTTGGTCTAAAACTTCCTGAGGTATAGGAAGAACTTTACAAACACGTGGTGTAACTGCTGGAAGCCGACAAATCCATCTTGAACTCATTTGTCTCAATGCTGTATTGTTCATTTCATCTCAGTAAAAAATTTTACATTTCCCACGTTTGAGGTGGTTGCGGTTGGTTATTGCTTACCCACTGTTGTGCATGGTTATATCCTCTGTTAAAGAATCTTTCACCTTGGTCCATATAGTGTCCTGCTTGGTTATAGTAGTCATTTGCTTTGTTATAATAGTTTCCTGCTTGTCTTCCTACACTGTCCATCCATCCTTGAACTTTTCCTCTTGTTTCAGGATTTGGAATAAGATTTGTTGCATCTCGTGCTACATCCCAACCTTTCTGTACAGTTTGTATAATAGGTTGTGCTTTCTCTTTAAGTATACCTAATGTACTCAAAATCTTCCTTCCAACTCCAAATGCACCTCTGGCTATTGTTCCCACTGCGGGTAAAAATCTAGATGCAACTCCTGCTAATGCGCCAAATAAACCCATTTCTTATAGGGTAAAAAATGACGAATCCAAACAATGACCCCTATGTTTCTAAAGCGACAAAGAAAGCACTCATGATAAAAATCTTTAGTTCAACACCAAATGCTTGGTTTATGGATATCTTGGAAAACATTCCGAGAGTTAGAACAGATGGACCTCCATACTGGTTAATATTTGTTGGTCAAAACACAAGATACTGTGAAGCCATACCATTATGGTCCAAAAATATTTTAGATGTGAAAACTGCTTTGACAATATTCGTTGACAAATACCATCCAACAAAACTGACATCTGACTGTGAAAGTTCTTTCAAATCAGATGATGTAAAAAACTATCTGCGTTCAAAAAATGTAAACCAATATTTCATTGTCGACCAAAACCATTCTGCTCTTGGTGTCATTGACGGATGTATAAAAATGTTAAGAGACTTAAACCAACCACAAGGTGGTGAAGCAAATGAAATGTCATATGACGACAAATATAGACACTTCTCCATGGCAAAGATGAGACAAGTTTTAAATATTTACAATAACCGTAAACAAAAAGGTTTGGGAAACCACTCCCCTGAAGAAATGAAAAACAACCCTGACTTAGAGAAAGACTATATATTTAATAATTTAGTCAAAAGAGACAAACAAGAAAGAATGCCGGGCTTCAAACTTCAGAAAGGTGACAAAGTAAAAATAGAAATACCTAAACGCGACCCATATGAAAATACTATTGACTATGACAACAATGGGAACCCGACAGGTACTCACATTCGTGTTCGTAAAAATAGAAGAAAGTATACAAGAGAATATTATGAAGTTTTAGGCAAACATGGCAAAATGTACAGACTGCAAGCAGAAGATAAAACTACTATTGTCAGACCTCGTTTCAAACTTGTCAAAGTTCAAGGTGGTATACTTTCAAAGACAGTTCCTAACAAATATAAGACAACTCCTGACGAATATGCTAAAGAAGTTGAAAATGACGACTAAGCAATTCTATACCATGCGTAAACTGTCATGTAAGGTGGCATGTAGTCTTTACTTTGTCCCGTTGTTTGTGTATATCCTGAAACGAAATGTGTATGGTTTCCTTCTCCCTGAGTGTCACTCCAGTAACCATTTATAGCAAACTTAACGTCGTCTTTAACATCATATCCTTTACCTTTTGTCATTCCTGACCAATCCCAATATCTATGCTTATGCCAACCTGCTTGAGATGTACTTAAATCTATGTAGTGACTGTGTGCAGGTAAATTTTCACCTGAAATCGTTTTACTTCCACCTGTTTCCTTTGAAGAGTTTGCACAATACAAAAACCTGTCGACTATTTGTTCCCATGCACCAACACCAAACATTACTTGAGGACCTCTTGCTTCCATAGATGTATAAATAGAACCTACTTGGTTCATTAAATCAAACATATGAGATATTATAGGATTGTCTCTTTTGAACTTAAAATATAGTGCAACTATTTCAGGTTTCTTCTGGTTTGTGTCAGAATATTTTTTATAATATAATCTTATGTTTTCAGGGTAGGTAAAGTCTTGACTATAATATTTATTTCTGTCATCTGTATAATAATATACTATTCTCGTTTTTTCTATTGCATTATATCTTTTATATCTATAATAATCTAAATATAATGTTAGCTTTTGTTCATCTACATGTGGTGTTCTGTCGTCATCTCCATAGTCATAATAATGTGGTGCTGGAGCTGGGTCAGGCAATGTCATATCTGCCATTTCATAAACTCTTAAATATTTCTTTTGTTCGTCTCCATATAAGTTTAAGTAGCAGTTGTTGTCTAATGGAACTTTAACTTGTGTACCATCATTCTTTTTATAGCTTACATACATTTCATTGTTATTTTTCGGAATGAGTTTATACCGTGTACCATTTTCTAAGGACTGTACCAACTGCCATCTAAAATATTTATTTTCTTCATTGACAGAAAAGTCACCAACAATAGTTTCAATATTTTTTGTTCCTAGCAAACTTTGGTATATTTCATTGACATATGTTTTATCTGCTTTCTTTTCAAGGCTAACGTTTAAGTCTGTTATTTCAGAAGATGTATGTGTATGTCCAACGTCACTTTTACTGTTTAAGGTTTCTTGTAAGTTTGTAATATTTGCAATGGTATGTGTATGTCCAACGGCACTTTTACTGTTTAAGGTTTCTTGTAAGTTTGTAATATTTGCAATGGTATGTGTATGTCCAACGGCACTTTTACTGTTTAAGGTTTCTTGTAAGTTTGTAATATTTGCAATGGTATGTGTATGTCCAACGGCACTTTTACTGTTTAAGGTTTCTTGTAAGTTTGTAATATTTGCAATGGTATGTGTATGTCCAACGGCACTTTTACTGTTTAAGGTTTCTTGTAAGTTTGTAATATTTGCAATGGTATGTGTATGAGTCTTATCTGCTTTTGTCTCTAATGTTTCCTTAAGACTTGGTATTTGGTTAATATAATGTATATGAGTCTTTTTAGAATATTCGTTTTCAGCTCTTGTCACTTCACTTGACATTTTATTGTCAACATATGTTTTGTCTGCTAGTTCAGGATGAGTATGTTCTTTTGTTGCATAAGCATTGTTAGCTCTTTCTTCTTCTTTTGCTATTGCATCGTCTACATATTCTTTGTCAGCTTTGTTGTCAACATCTGCTTTCAAAAGAAGTTCATTTATAGGTTTCTCATTTAAAGTTCCTTTTGTTGGATTTATACAGACAGTATGGTTCTTATTGTCTTGAAACAGAAACTCATCTGTCATTGGGTTTAATGTCAGTTTTAAGTTTCCATCCTTCAATGACTCAGATATCTTAGAATAGTTTGAAAAGTTTGTTGTGTTCTTATTTAGAGCTTGCATAATGAGTTGTCGGTTGTGTTGTATTTCTCTCATAGACGCTGTTTCATTTGACATTTTTATTATAGATAAAATATGCTTCCAATAGAAAAAGAAAATTCTAGAGTTGCTACAACTAAACCATTAGATGAACTTTTTACTAATGTCGGTCAAAAGTTTGAGATAGATACCGTAAAGCATGAAGGCTATCGTTTTGACTACCCATTAAGATGGTTAAGAGACCCATCCGTCACAAAAGCTATTGGCTTTCGTAGAATGAAGTTCATTTCAGAAGCCATACATGGTTTCCCATTTACGGTCGGTTTTGAAGTTCGATACTATAACAAAGAAAAACGTATGTATGAGAAATTTGAACAGGGAAAACTTTTACAAGTTAATTTGCTTATAAACTTAGAAACAACTCTTCAAGCTTTTCAAGAAAAAATAAACGATCTCTATATCGAATATGCAAACCAGTATAACATTGACGAAGGAGAATACCATCTCGATATTATTTATGACAGGAAAAATGCAACTGTTAAAATCAATAAAATAGAAGACCTTGGAGAAAACGTTTATATTTCTACAAAATATAACAACTTGGCATGGTATAGATTTATGAGGATGTTAAATCAGCCTGCAGCATATCCAGTACACCCGGACTATTATGAAGTCGAAAAGCCTAATGGAACATATGAAAATATTTTCGACCAAGATGCTATTATTGTTCATGCTTCATTTTCTGGCGCCCAAAACTCTTTCTTATGTCTGATGAATGACTTTTACGAAAAACCTACAAAGTTATACGAACCACCAAGTAGAAGTATTTCAGACTTTCAAGTATGGTTTACTACAGATGGAAGAAAAAGAATAATTCCATTATACCACGCGTTTTACTTAGAACTTAGTTTCATATACAACTACTATCGAACGGTAAAAATATAATTTTTTAATACGGTTGAGGTGTTGGATTTGGTTGCCAACTAGACTGTGGTGCAGGTTCAGGCTGTTGTATAACAGGAGCTTGTTCTTCTGGTTCAGGGTCTTTAGGTATAATACCAACGAACTGACCTACTCTTTTACCAATATTTTTGACTCCGTTCCATACTCCTCTTCCGACAGATTTTATTCCATTCCATATACCTCTTCCAACTCTTCTGAAGAAGTTTCCAATACTACTGAAGAAACCCATTTTACTATATGTAAAAATCTAATGTCCGCCTAGTCTCTTACGTTTCCTGTTGAGTTCCATAGCATTCTTTAACTGGAGCTCATACATTCTGTTTCTCCTCTGGTAGAAAACATATTCTGGGTCAACTCCTGTGTTCGCGTCATCTGCATAAAGTTGTTTATATCCCACTTCAGGGTTTGTATAAAACTCTTTCCATCTCATATTTGCATACCATGGTGGCAAACCTAACGCAGCGTCATTTGACATGGCAGTTTGCATTTGTACATCTGTTGGCACTTGACCATAGTTTGCCATTGCAGTTTGTATTCTAACTTCATTTGGAATATTCTCTGGGTTTGGTTGTCCAGGTTGCTGTGCATTCGCTAAGTTCTGTGCGTCCATTTAATATTAGATAAAAATATCTCTTACGAGTACATATACTGAACATTTGCAGGCATTGGTTCATCTTCATATTCTCTGTACTTTTCTGCCACGTCAAATAAATAAATGACACAATGGAAAAAACCTAAAACAAGTAGTCCTATTTCAAACCACATTTACTTACTAATAAAATTTCTTTATTGTGACACTTTCTCCGGTTTATAGGACCTCTCTCATATTCTATCTTGTCATATCTAAACTCATAGTCATGTATGTCCTCTAACCATCTCATAACGGTTTCCAAACCACTTTTATCGGATGTAAAGTAAAAGCATGGATGGTTATGTATAACGTCTAAAGTTTCTAAAGAGTCTCTCAAAGTCCAGTCTACTTGGTATTGAAAATCCCATGTGTTATAGAACGGCGGGTCCACTATAAAGAAAACATTTTCCTTGTCTTTATATTTTTCATACAACTCTGTCCAATGACATCTCACAAACTCTATACCCTCAATATATTTTTCTATGTCCTCTTTGAAAACATTTGTATAGTTAAGATATAAAACTTTTGACATAAGTGTTTCAATGTCATGAACTCTTATAGCACCACTATATAATAGTCTAGCAGATATACTATCCCAGTCTATATATTCTGCTTTTTTCAAAACCTCTCTCACAATATTTTTGTTATCTAATGGTATATGTTCCATCTTACCTATAGGTATCTTTTCTTTTAACTCTTTCAATATATTGTTTGTGTCTGGAATATGTTTGAGACGGTTCATATAGTTGTCGAAGTCATTGCATATAATCTTTGAGTCTGGGAATATTATATGACATAAATGGGATATATAGAAACTTCCACCGAACAAATCTACAAATGTTAGACCATTCGGTAGTTTCTTAAGTTCTCTCAATATAATATCTTTACATCTACTCTTATTTCCAAAGAACGGTAACGGCGGTTTTGTAAAATTCATTTATATATAATAATAAAAATGTTTTTACCCGAAAAGTGCCAGAAAAGTGACAAAACATGAAAACATATATAATTTGTGAAAAGTGACACAAAAAGTGTCACCGGCTGGTCGGCTGGGGTTCGGTCCTCCTCTTGGGTCTTGGGCAAAATTTCTTATGGGCTAGAGGGCGCAACGCGCCTGGAAGCCCTCCGAATATAAACTTCATTTATACTAAACATCTTCAGGGCTAGAGGGCGCAACGCGCCTGGAAGCCCCACTACCTTTTTTTAAAAAAGTGACAATTTTAGCAAAACGAAACCCTTAATTCATTTTAAACAAATTTGAAATGAAATAATTTGTGAAAATTTGAGAATAATTTAATTATTTCAGAAGTCTATATTGAAAAAATATTCTTAACAAAATTAATTTAAATGGTTCAGAAAATAAAAAATTAAAATGAATGGAAAAAACATGATTAGGAATAATTAACAATAATAAATATCATGGTTTTGGATTATTTAAACAGCTATAAAAGAACGAATTTTACAAATTATGATAAAAAAAATTATTGAAAAATAATGAAGAGGATAAGGATTTGAATCGAAAATTAAAAGGATGATTATGTGTCAAATTAAATTAAAATAAAAATTTTAGAAGATTTAGACAAGAAATAGTGCAAAGAATTAGAATTAACATAAAAATCGAAAATTTAATAAAGGAGAGATAAAATTATTGTAGTATTCAATTGAAAAATTTTATAAAATAAGGAATATTGGTAAACAAATAAGTTTCATCTAAAAAAAGGAAAATAAAAATATAAAAATTGAAATAAAAACAGAAATATAAAATATTTTTAAAATGCAAAAAAGTTTCATACTAATCGTTTTTGTATAATATTTATCATTGAAAGATTATTGAAAGATATTTTGAAAGAAATCGAAAGAGTTAAGAAATATTGAGAAGAAGGACAATTGAATGAATTTTTGGCTGATTGTACTATGCAAAGTTGATGATAATTGCAGGAAATTTTGAGATTTTCGAGGTTTTGGAGGGTGTGAGTACTATTATATGTAATAGTATCTCACACCCTCCAATTCATCCTATGGCGTCGAGAAAATTTTGGTGAAATGTCGTGGCATTTCACCAAAATTTCTCGGCGCCATATAGAGAACTAGAGTCTGCGAGGTACTGATTCTATCTATGTACCTCGCAGACCCTAGTTCTCAGCCAAAATGGCTAAAAATTGCTCGCAATTGTTTGCCATGTAAACCGTCACTTTTTGAGGAGATTTGACGTTCTGTCAAATCTCCTTTTTTCGTATATAAGAATTTCAGGCCCATTATACAAATTAAGAAATGCATAGCATCCAAATTCAAAGTCGATTTGACTATCTCCTTTATTTTTTATGTTATGGATAACTTCAATCCAGTTGGGATTTGCATTGGGAGTTTCTAAAGAGAGTTCTAATGAGCCATGGTTTTCAGTTTTCATATTAGAAAGCTCTTTTGAGCCATCTGATGTTTTAATTTGGCAAATCATGCCATTAGCATCAGTTAATTCATATTCTCCGTCATCTGGATAGTCCACATCAGCGGGATAAAAAATGTCGTACCATCCTTTTTGTTGTGTTGGATTTCTAATTTCTAGTGTAACACTAAGAATAAAGAGTGGAAGTATAAATCAATAAAATAAAAATTGAATGCAGTCATATTTGATAAGTATTGAAAAAATAATTAAAATTTTCCATGAAATTATAATATATGCATGTTTGTAAAATTATATCACGATAAAAATCTGACTCTTTTGAGTTGAAAAATTGAGAGACCATGAGCATATTAGAATAATACATGTTTATAATTAGAAAATTCGGGTTATAAAAGATGAACGTTAAATTGTAAACTTATGAATTTGAAAATATTTGAGAAAACAGAAATTATGTTTTTGGAATATGAAATTTGATTTTAAAGTTATAATGTGTTAATGTATTATTGAATTTGCGTTCTTAAGAAATCCGATTTAGCGACAGAATTTTTTATATTCTATTTTTATTTTAATAAAGAAATATTTAAATAAACGCTATTTTGGTGATAAGTGAAGTTTTCAATTGAAATTTTTTGAATAAATAATATCTGATTCTCGTAAAAATTTAAAACAAAACGATATATTTAAATGCAAAATTTATTTTACAATTTAAATTCACTCGTTTCGAAAATTCTGTCAAATTTAATTCAAAAATTTGAATACGCTTTAGAAAAGCGAACTCGGAATATTCAATATCTTTTTAAGCCAAGATTTGATTTTACATCCAATGTTCCATGATAACTAAAATTAATTAAAAACCAAAATATATAGTATTTCATTTGAATTTTCGTAAAAAGATTTTTTACATAATGCGTAATGATTCATTTGCTTTGTATTAAGCAGATAATACCAATTTTACAAGAAAAACATCATGTAACTTACTTTGCCACATAAAATAAACCGCCTACTTGGTTTCAAAAAAAAATTCAGGTAAATTTTTATGAGTTGATTTTCACATGCATCTCATGATATTCTAATTTTTTTTACTTTGATTAATTTCAATTTTTTTAACTCATTAATCATTTCAAATGATGCTAGCAAGTTTTATGCCATAGAATCAATAACTCATACAAGTGAATTATATCAAACGCCGGCATTTTGATCAGATTATAGGTGTTATTGACTAATCGACTCTTTCTCTAAACTCTAAATCATATCAAGCTGTTTATATATGTAAAGTAGTTTTAATAGCATGATACATTGTCTTGAGATTCTATCAATCTTTCCATAATTTTAAACGTACACTACTAAAATGACTCTGTCTTCTGTCCTTGGGAAAGATAAGAATTTACAATTGCTTGACTTAAACGATCAAGGTGATGACAGTTGGTCGATTATTAAAAAGATTGAAGTAATAGAAGAACTTATTCAAAAAATAAAAGCAAAAAATTTAAAACTCGAATCCAAATATATAGCAGAAATGAATAACATCCGATCTATTATTAAGAAAAATAAAATTGAAATGGAAACTAGGCTTTCTAAGTTACGTGAACAAAATGATAACGAAATTAAAGAACTTGACGAATCCAACTCAAATGAAATAAAGCTAATGAAAGAAAAAATTAATGATGCAAATGATACCACTAATAAATTTCATGACAACAGAAGAGCAATGCGAAAGGCTCAAAAAGAAGCCGAACTTAACGAGTTAAAGCATCAATTAGAATCAATGAAGCAAATGAATGAATCTCTATTAATGAATAATAGTACAAAAATAAGAAATAATAATATGGACAACGTTGTTAAGATATCCGAGCTAATGGCCAAAATTGAATTAATGAAATCATCCATTGATGAAGTTAATTCCTCTATTCAGCAAAATCTTCTATTAAATACCAAATCTATCCGTGAAATTAATTTTAAATATCAATCACGCGCGGAGCAGAGTCAAAAAGAGTTAGAAAGCATGAAAGAAAAGCTCAATAAGCAAACAAATGAAGTAGAAATTGTAATCAAAAATGAAGAAATGTCGAATCAGCAAGTAATTCAAAAGTATAATAAAGAACTGGAGATAGCTGAGATCAAAGAAAAAAAGCTTCAAGAACTTAAAATAAAATTAGGTCAAAAGCATAAAACCCAACGCGATGAGTTAAAATCTAATATCGAATCTATTCGAGAAGCTATAGAGAGCATAAACGAAATTTGTGTAGAGAATGAGAAAATATCCGAAAAGCATGAAAAAAAGATCTCAAATATCGAAAAAGATTGTGCAAAGATCTCATCCCAAATAGATGAGACTAAAGAAGAAATCCAACAACTTAAATCAGAAAATATTATTCTACGAAAAGAAATACAACGTTTACGTAATAAGAATTTTGATTATCGAATGACTTCTATTGTTCCTCGTATTTAATACTTATATATGTATTTACTTTGTTTTTGTATGTAAAAACCCTATTTTGCGTCTCAATTATTTGATTTTTCCTGAAAATAGGAAATCTCAAATCATTTTCGATTTAAATAGCTTTACAATCTAATAGATTTAGCTCTATATGGTTTCACCCTAACATAAAATCCATGCCAAAATATAATTTTAATATTTTTATTAGTAAAATAAAAATATCTATAATGAAACTACTGAACTACAGTCTTCATACTATTAAAATTGATAAGTAGATCGATTAAATATTATGAACAATAATTTTAAAAATCAAAATCAACATGAAATTTTTTATTGTTTTGGTTTCTTAGATGGAACTGGAATCTTTGATCCTGCTGCCTTCTGTAGCTTGGATCCGGCCGCAGAATTACGAGAAGCCTTTCCTTGAGTCATAATTCGGATTTTATTATCGACAGAAGAAAGTCGTTGTTGTAAAACGGATATTTCTCCTTCGAGTTTCTCGATTGTTTTGTTCATTCTCGTAATTGAAACGCGACGTTGGGCCATTGCTGTTTCTCGCTCTTCTTCGGACTGTTCGATTGAAGCATTAATAGCTTCGAAATCTTTTACAAGCTGTGAATTAGTATTTGTCTCGGAACGAGATGAAGAACGAGATGTAAGAGAATTTAACTCAGAAAGTAGTTTGGAGTTCTCGGATTGAGCTTTTTCGTTATCATCTTTAAGCATTGATACTCTGAGCAATGCTTTCTGTAGTCTTTGCTGTTGAATAATTACATCGGATTTTCCTGTTGTAGCTTTGAATTCAGATTCACCTTGCTTTTCAAGTTTAACGAGTTGGTTAGCTGTATGTCTAGTTTGTAGTTGAAGTTCTGCGTTGGAACGCTTAAGATCATTAATTCTTTGCTCCATTGAAGCCAATTTTCGATGGGCTTTAACTAATGGATCTTGCATAATGTTTACAGATGCCTCAACAACTTGAGGAAGGCCTCTGTCGATCATTCCTTTAACATAATCAAGATATTCGAGAACTCCGGTCTTATCTACATCCGAGCATCCGGACAAATTATAGCCATCAACGTACTTCGGATGTTTGATCAAACCTCCGTCGTATTTATATGGCTTTCCGGACAATTCAACTTCATCATAAATAGAAAAGTCCATTGAAGTTCTATTTCTATGCATAAGAAGTTGTGTATCTGTAAGAACGCACATTAATAATGAAAATAGTTGATTTGTCTCTGTTAATCGTAATGATAAACTTTGATTAAGTGTTGAAATCTTTTGACTTCTATTGAAAATTTCTTCTGTCTCCATGACTTCTTTAACGACATCATCGTCGCTTAAATCTTTCTTGGAGGAAAGAGATGACGAAAGTTTGGATGAATCTTCATTATTTTCTTGTATTTCTTGGTTTTCTGGTTGACTTTCTAGTTCTGGTTCTTCTTTATGAGGAGATTCTGGAACCGCTTCTTCTTCCTCGACTTTTTCTTCTGGCAAAGGCGTTTCATCGACAGCTTTTTGAGATTCTTCTGCTTTTTCATCTTCCTTCTGTTCATCTCCATCGGATGAAAAGTCATGTTCATCATTTGCTGGTGTTTTTGTTGGTTCAGGGGTTTCTGTACCAAAATCATCTTCATTTTCATCTTCAAAATTTGCTTGATGAGGTTGTTCATCTTCATCACCTAATACAAATGGATTTCCCTCATCCTCATCATCAATAAAGTCATCGTCAAAATCATATTCAGCCATTTTTTTGTAAAAAAAATTGTTTTCACTTTTTATCAAAATTTGATATGATGATAATTATGTAAAAGAAGTAGAGTTTAACTTTCTTGATGACATCGTTTATATAAACATCCGGATTTGTATTTATTCTACTAATTAATATCTAAAGTACTCACAAAATCTAGATTGAGAGGCGGTCAATGACTTTTGAGGGGAAATTAACGCATGGGATTTAATATTATTTAGGTTGATATGCTTGCCTATTATTTCAGAAAAAAATCTTAAAAATTTCAATATGAAAATTGAAAGCAAGTCAAAAAAAATGCTTACATGTAAATTTTAATATCATATGCATAATTTCATATTTTGAACATTTTTTATTTTTGTTTAAGGGTGCGCCCGGGAGGATCATGTAAACTTCAGAATTTAGAACCTTAATTTTTAAGCAATTACTTGGTACCTAAATAGGTAGTAAAACTCTAAAAATATCAAAAAGTACAACTTGGCTCCATAATAATCCTGTCATGGTGGCAGTTTGTATTCCCTAGTATTTTCCTCTTGAATCTCTTTTTCTGTCGAAATTAAATTCAAATCTCAGAAGTAGAAGTGAATAATCGACTTATTGCTGCTATTATACGAATAAACAAATCCATTATATTATTTTTATTTACATAATATCTGTTTGAAGTTCATAATTCTATAAATTTTTCTTCAAAAACATTACAATCTTGATAGTTTTGATACTGTTTAATAGGTTTTTGGCACCTTATTTAGTAATTACAACGTATCGAGTCGATCTGAACTTAATTTTCGGAAATTTGAAATATTTATCATAAGTAAAATCTGATTTGAAATTTATGTTTAATTACTATATTTTGCATAATCCTAAGTAGCTTTTGTAAAAATTCATCAAAAAAATTTTTAACGTGCTTTAATTTTTTATTTTTTAAAATAATACATATTATTATATAACTAGAATATTTACAAATTTTAGTGCTTTCAAAAATTTAATCCTCCTCCTCTCAAATAAACGTACATCCGGGTGGCCTGTTTTTGCAAAAAATAAAATTTCATTTTTTTATGCTTAAGGGTGCCCTATAACGATAATGTAAACATCACAAAATTAACCTTATTAGAACTCGAATGAATGGATTATCCAGATTCTAGTTCTCAATATAATAGCCTTAAAAGTGCTTTTCTGAGGGTGGTCTATCGTCTATAGGGCACCCTTAAAAAGTCAGAATTTTTATTTGCTTCTGGGATATATGATGGCTATATCAGACAAAAAAAAAAAGGTAGTGGGGCTTCCGGGCACTTCGTGCCCTCTAGCCCCGAAGATGTTTAAAAAAAGTTGGAATTGAGGTAAAATTAGATGTTTAGTTTCATGGAACTTGACTGTCCATTGCATCTGCCATTTGTTGGTCGTCTTCTGATGGTGTTCTTGAATGATATTCTTCTTCTTCGGGTACAAATTCGTCATCATCAGGTGAGTCTTGTGGTTCATCTTCTTGAGTAGAGTCTTCTTCTTCAACATCAAAGTCATCTGGTGTATCGAACTGAATGTATGAAAGCCAAATGTTGTATGTGTTTTCCAATTGGCTTTCAAACTTGAGATACATTCCATGCATGAGTGTTATTTCAGTTTCAACGTAGAGTTGCTGACGTGGCTTGAAGACATGCATGAGAATTGGTCCTCCAAATTCGTCCTTGAAAAACTTGCAGTAGCAAACATAAACTGAGATAGAGTCTCCTTCTTCAATGTCTTCTGCTTGGTTAACGAAATGAATAGCAATTTTGCGTACTTGAATTGTGTTGTTGTCTGAGTAAAATAATGGTTTGAACTTGGGGTTGAGTGAGCTAAGACATTGCCATTTTGCTGTTTCTTGTCCGTACTCACGTTCTTCTTCGTCATCCTGATATCCATAACTCTTTAATTTGAATTCGACCCAAAACTGTTCGACTTTTTTTGCAGCTTTGGGTGGAAGACTTTCAATAAGCTGACATATAGTTCTGTCAACCATTATCTTTGTTATTGTTGGAAAATAGTTGACAATTGTGTCACCTAATTCGAATGGGTCAGGTGTTTCTTTTTGTAGTTTGGTAAAGTCTGCAAGAACTTTGTTGAGTTGTTCACAATATTCTTTGTTAAAAGTTGCAGCAACTCTTTCTTCTGGCTTTGAATTGAAGTATTCTTCAGACAATCTGAGTAGTATTTTGCGTAGTTCAGCGTTGCTGTGGTTCTTTGTAATACGGAGCTCGTTTGGTATTGTTTTTGGTAGTGAAAGTGGCTTTGGATTGAGCGAATTGTCTGTTCTGCTTGGAGAATGTGTAGATGCTGCAGTTTGATATTGAGGCTCTAAACCTGTGGGTGCTGAAAGTTTGCAAGCAATTTCTTCAGGTGAATTTGGAGCGAACACGCTAGCGAATGCCATTAGACAAAAATGAACTGTTTTTTTCGGACTACTCATAGAAAAGTTTAAAATAAACCGTTTTCGTCAACGGTAACCCCCTCTATTTTATTTTATTTAATAGTTACCGTTGGCAAACCGTTCCATCTCAAATATTGAATGAACTATAAACGTTTTTTGTTTTCTATATATACTTTTTGTCCAACGGTAAAACTTTTTACACAACGGTTTTTGAGAGTCGTCGCCGTTGACTTTTTTGTAGAGCACTCAAAATAGTATAACTTTGTCCGGACAAGTAAGGGTCTATCGTCGCTACAGGAAAAGTTACAGGCGTTCCAAGGAAGTAAACTTTGAGAAGCCTTTTCCCTTAAAAAAGATAGGACGGTTATTTTACAAAACTGACAACACTTTGACCGAGTAGTTTTTTGTGCTGAACAAAAAGTGTCATATAAACATCTGTCAAAAACCGCTTTTTAACTTCACTTAAAATGCCACGTAAGCTACGTAAGAATATACGTAAGAGGAAGAGAGCATTGAAACATCCAATAGTAAAACTGACACCACAACAACAGTTGCAACAACAAATGATGAATGACCCCACTATGTTGCAACAAATGTCAAGCAACCCTATGCTTTTAAACCGAGTTATTGGTGCACAGAGTGGAGGTTTAAGAGCGGCACTTTTAGCGAAAATGGCAGGCTATGGTGGAGCTGCAGACGGAACAGCTTATAACCCTCAAAGTCAAATGAATTTGAGTTCACTCAAAAATCAAATAACAGATGTCAAAAAGTCAAACATAGACATACAGAAACAAATAAGTGAAAACGAAAAGAAACTAGAATATGACAGACACACAAAGAAACTCAATGAGTTAAACGTAGAGAAAAAGAAGAAAGAAGAACAACTGAAAGAACTAAGTACAGAGGAATATGCGAAAAAAGTGTCAGAAAAAGCAGCAGAAGTAGCAAAAATGGAACAAGATGTTATAAATTTGAAAAACCATACTACTCAATATAAAGTACTGAAAGATGAAGAATAAAACAAAAAGCCCTGAAGACATATATGGATAGCGATGAGTATAAAAAAGAAGTTGAAGCAAATGTAAAGGCAGAAAAACTTTTACAGTTGCAAAACCAAACCGTACAGTATGAAAACTTAGCACAAGAAAGTAAAAATAACGACGCAGCCATGCAAAAGGCAATGAAAAGCGCAGAATATATAAAAGCTAATAATGACTGGTTAGATGCCCAAGCCAACGCTAAAGCAGCCCAACTTATAGGGTCAATAAGGACAAAAATACAAGCGGATGAAGACAGTTCAAATGAAGCTTTAATGAATGCTGACTTTAAGAACGCCTTCGAAGCTCTTCATAGTAAGGTGAAACTAGTGAACGACTTCTCATCTGGAAAGAAACTGAAGTCTGAAGGTTTCGACAACGAGTTAAGAGAAGTAGCACAAAATATGACGAAAATAACAGATGCAGCAACGAGACAGGCAGTTCAAAGTGCCTATGACGCCGTTAGAGCAACTGTTGTGGAAAGTCAAGAAAAAGAGTTACAACAGACCAAAACAGACCTAGTAAATGCTTTCTTAAGAACGAAAAGTCAGGTAGGACATTATGCTGCAGATGGAACATATGTGCCAGCTGGTGGAACTTATATACCAGCTGGTGGAACTTATATACTAGCTAGTGGAACTTATATACCACCAAACCCTCCAAGAGAAGCACCTGCACCAGGACTACCTAAAACATTTACATCGTCACATGAACACAGACACAGGCATGCACCAAAACCAACACAACAACCAACACAACAACCAACAGTTCAAAACACTGCACCACAACCAACAGTTCAAAACACTGCACCACAACCAACAGTTCAAAACACTGCACCACAACCAACAGTTCAAAACCCTGCACAACAACAACCACAAACAGAGCAAGGACATAAAAGAAGTAGAGAACAAGGAAACCAAGAATTCTTAAAAATGCTTCAGGAAGACTATGGTTACCCAGATACTCTTGACTTTAGTGACAGATATAAAGAAGCTATTAGAAAGTTCAAGGAAGGAAATACTGACCCGAACCTATTTAGCTTTATGGCTCAGCACCAAATGGGATATAATTTCAAACCTGGAAAATACAAGCTCGCTAAGGGATATGATTTAATAGCATATCATCCAAATGACATGACTGAATTTACTCCGAGATATTTGGTGTCAGAGCTAAATGATAATTCAACTCTCTTCATGAAACGCGTAAAAAATAGAGACGGAACGAAAGAAGAAAGGTTTATGAGTCCGGATGACTTAGATAGGGAACTTTTTAAAAACGGTCTCGGAATATATGAAATGCCAGCAGATGAGGTACAAGAAACTCCACAGGAAGAAGTTCAGATACAACCAGACATGGAAGAAATAGTTCAGCAACAACAGCTAGAAGAGCCTGAAGGAAACGAACAAGTTCCTCCTTTGGAAACTAACTTCACAGAACTAGATGAAGATTTGGAACAGCCGAAAAATCTTGACCCTCAACAAGTGTATGCGGGGAATATGGAATCTTTCCAAGAGTCTAAGAAAAATTCGGCTGACATAGTAGAAGAATATCGAAAAATGTTCGCCGACATACAAAAGACTCCAACATCAGATGAAAATATTCAGCATAGAATGGAAGAACTGAAAGAAAGTGTACGCAAATACAACAATCCTTTTTACTTACGACCATATAACGTTCAATCTTTGGCTGAACTCGGTGAAAATAAAAGGTTAAATTTCAACAAAACATATAGAAATGAAACATTGTTTAAAGTTCATTCAGAACCTACCAATATGGAAACAAACCTACTTTTGTTTCTGCAGACTATGGAACTACAATGAGATGGGGTCATAAAGCTAATCCGGATAGGTGGTTCATAAACTTACAACCACAATTCCAAGAAGTTGTAGACGCAATGGAAGTGAATGGTGAACCAGATATAGCTGGTATTTTCAGCGCGGCTTTAATGCCATTGAAAGATATGAAAGATGCAGATATTTTGGACCAGTATGAAATGAACATGGCTGATGGAAATATAACACCTGACGTTCTAAACATTTATCTCAAAGAACTACACAGAACCATAGAGATGGTATATTTGGTGAAGAGTTTAGAAAGAAAGTTAGGGAGAGAGAAGGAAGAGAACCTATTGTACATGACCTTGCAAACGAAAGTTTGCAAAATGTCATAAAAACTTACTTTGCAGACAATGAACCGAGAAGGGATGAATATTTAAGAAAACTCAAATGGACAGTACCAAATGAAATGTTAGTATTGAAAAACATGTTCCTTGACAAAATAAAACCAACTACAGAAATAAATGACGCAAGACTGAAACATTGGGTAAAAGCTTTCCCATTCACAAAAGATATTATTGGTAACATGGAAAGAAAACCAGAATGGCTACAAAAACATATATTTGGAAACGAGCTTATTCCATATGGACAAGCTCTGTTTGAAGAGCTTGAACCGGAAACTCAGGAAAGAGTCATGCAAACAATACGCGAAGACTCAAATACAAACTATGACAAAATCTTTCTAGGATATAGGTTACCTGAGATGGGCGACCAGAGCCCAAAGGCAAAAAGGACATGGGAAATTTACAACATACTAGGTGAACATGAGGCAAAGATGCAACAACTTGAAGCAGAGGGCAAGTTACCAAAAGCGACACCAAAGAAGAAGAGTAGAACAAAGTGAAAGTAGTGAAGAAGTAACTTCATCTAGTGAAAGTAGTGGCAATGAAGGAAAAAGAAGAGTTAAAAACTCAGTCAGGAAGAAAGTAAAGCTTGGTACGAGTGGGTTCTATTATGATATATAAATCCAACTATTCTATATTTTTACCCATATGAAATGTACGCCGCTCAGAATATAACGCCAACAGTTTTGGATGCCATGAACGGAAATGTTTCCGAATGGTATAACGAATGCGACAATGCCATTAGAAGGTCAGAAATAGTTCCTGGAACTTACGAATATACAACTGCTGTTTCTTATGGAAACGTAGGTGAGTTTGGAGAAGGTTCTTCAACAACAGTAGATATTGCTTGCGACAGGTTTCATATTATTTCTATTGACAACTCATTCTTATACGTGGAACAAGACATTGAAATAAAACCTTCTGCCAAGTTGTCTGACAAGAAAGGTTGCAATGGAATTTTCTATGTCGGATACCAATATGCTCCAGAAGTTTTCATGGGATATAAGATATATTCTAACTCTGACTTAGTTCAAACAGTAACATGGGCAAACTATGAATGGTTCGCTTTGAGAAACTCAGTACAACCACAAGCTAGAGAACAAACAGACCAGTATGCAAATATTGAGAAAATAAGAAGACTTGACCCTAACGTTCCAGGAGTTTATGTTAACCTTTCTGGTTCAGATGGAACTGCTGCCACTAAAGTAAAACTGAAACTTAGAGTTCCTTTGTCATCTTTCCTCATCTTCAGGTTTTTAAGATACTTGCCAAACTGGGCAGGAAAAATTTCTATGAACTTACTCCAAGCAAAAATAACTTAGTCATTGCACCAACACAAGACCCATTCAGCATTACTGTAGCTGGAACTGGTGGAGCCAAGTTCTGTGACTTTTGCAAAGACAAAGTTGACTTAGACTTTGGTTTCTCAAACTCAACAATGAAGTAAACTATTATTTCAATGCTGCTGGAACTGCTTGGGACCCAGTTAAGTTCACATGCGAAAAATTTGAATGCAAGAGAATAGAAAGCAGACTTGCAGTCTATATGTTGGACCCAGATATTTCAAATGCTTTAGCTGCCAAATATATTGCAGTTCCACTTATGTTCCCTATACACCAAATATCTGTCAAAGACTTTGCAGGTGAAGTTGGAAACCAAAGTGCTGACCCAGGTGCAAGAACAGATATTGCTTTAACAACTGCAATGAAACATGCAGATACTATGTTTGTACTGTTCAGACGAACTATAAATGACTATTCTTGTTTCTACAACCCCGGTATTAAATATCATATAAACATAGATGGCAAATATTATCCAAGAGAAGAATATTCTACAGTTGAGGATATGAGGTCATACAACTTGACATTAGATGCTATGAACTTTAACAACAACTTCACAACAACCATTAACCCTGAAATGCAAAGTTCTATTATGCCATATGTGAAAGTATGGACTCATACAGGAGGTCAAAAAACTCAATATACAAATGGAGACCGTTCAAACTTTTGGCTTGGCATTCCATTTGCTGACTCAGAAGACTTTATGGGTGGTATTTCAACTGTTGGTACTGTACAAATACAATATACTGGTGACAGAGACGGTCCAGATGAACTGAGAGCAAAGAAGTTTACAAAACCAATAGCACTTTTCACGGAAGATGCTCTTTTGAAGATTCGTTCGATGAAACCTGCTGGGGCTCCTCAGATTGGCATAACGACAGCTTCCATCGAGCAGATTTTGGCAGCAGGTCAGTAAGTTGTTCTTGAACTGACTTCTCTCCGTCAAATATTGACAGTACGCCAGTTTTGACATAATATTGTAAGATAAACTTACCTTTAGAAATATCTGTAAGTTTTGTTGTTATATTTTTGTCTGCTTCAAGAACTTTCACCATTTCAGTTATACCAACTTTCTTTGCTTTATGAAAATATTTTGGTTCAGCAAAGACTGCTATTCTATAACATTTCCATTGTTTGTATAAAGAACTATTCTGTCAATGTATTTGTATTGTTTGTGTGTGTAAACTTTGTTCTGCTTCAATTCGAAGAGATACTCGAATACGTCCATCTTTTTATTCTAAGTAAAATGTCATTTCCGAAAAATAGAAGCGTAAGTGTTTCAAAAGGTTTAATGGCGGTGGCAGATGTGAAGTTAAATTCACCAACTCAAACAAACAGTCAAAGTGTTGTTGTCAATGTCAAAGACAGAGATGTTGAAGTGGGGAAACCATACGAAGACGAAGATGGTATAACAATTGTTCCTGTAAAAGAACAACCAACATATCCTGAAGTTAGCAGAGACTTAAGTTCTGTTGCAGATATTCGAAACGACTACCAACAACTGAAAGACAAACTTCAAACTCAGGAGAAGATTTGTCAAGCTTTAAGTATAATGTTAAACTTGGTCGAACACAACCCTGTAAAAGTGAACTCATATGTCATTGCACCTCATGAAGTTTTGAAAGAACTATTGAAACTTTTGACAGAGGCAGACGATATAAACATCAAAGAAATAGAACCCGACATTAGTTGCTGTGGTGTTTCATATAATGTCATTGACAAGATATACGTTATGAAAGGAGGTGAAACGTTGAACTTAAAGTATAGTTTCCCAGACGTCATAAAAATATTTGACGACCACAACATTTCATTAAAATTTATTTGCTAAGTAAAAATGTCAAAACTTCTTGAAAGATGTTTGAAGAAAAATAATATAGACTTTATTTCATGTAAAGGACTTTACACACTTTTGAACGATATGAAAGACCCTGTTTTGTTTGTTCGTGTAGACAAAGGAAAGTTCTATGTCTTTACAAAATATTTGAACTTCTTAGACAGAGAACTTCAAGAAACGCCATGTGAAAGTTTAGATGAAGTTCTTCTCCACTTTCAGAAAAACTTTTAAATATATATAAATGGCAGAAGATATAATGGTTTATACTATTACGACTAAAAACCCTGAGTCATATAATTCTATAACAACAAACTTACAAAGTCCTCAAGGACGATATTGTAAACTAACCTTAAACACAATGACGACTAAAGCCTGTTTTGCTCTTTTGACACCAGAAGACTTTATTGTTGTGAATGGTAAAAAATACTCCTTTGAAGATACTTACTCAGATATACCACCAACAGGTTTTGTTGACTTATTTAATACTTTAAGACGGGTGTAACATGTGCTGCAACTAGAGCAGGTTTCATTATGTTTGGATGTCCGACTGAGTTTACTATAAACGATATGAGCTATAATACAAAACTTATTTCTGGTTTTTACTACCAACAGTTTCCTATAACAGGAAAAGGTGTCATACAAGGAATGTCTATTCCATTGACATTAAGCACACCAATCTTATATATTGTTTCAAACTTAGGTTCAAAGTGTTATTCGAATGTCGACAGAAACTATTATGACCAAAAGATACTTATGCGTATAAACAATACTTTCTCTGCTGGTTTGCCTATTGTTCATTCGAATGCAGAATTTTCAACCTTAGTGAACTCAAACACTTTGGCAAGTATAACGTTGACATTAGTTGACGCAAACTTTGTTCCTGTAAAACTTTTATGTCCTATGTATTTGTCAATGACGGCAGAAAGTTTCGAATTGGAAGATGCAACTGGTGAAAGTATTGTATTACAAGAACAACTTCAACAACAAATAGCTCAAGAACAACAAATGCAACAAATGAACAACAAAGTCAAGAATAAAAAAAATATTTTTTTTTATTTTTATAAAAATGTACAGAATAGATGTTTCAGATTTTTATGACTTCCAAGCATTCAGAAATATGTGTCCATTTCGAGACTATAACAAAGCAGTCGAGAATTTGAAACGTTTAGTCATTTATGTCGACTCTGCCCCAGAATGTTATGTTATGAAAGAATGGGATGTTGTCTTTAACAAACCAAGAGCAACAATAGTTTCAGAACAAGAATGTAGACAGAAACTTAAGAAAATAAAAGTTGTACAAGTTGGCATGAAGATGTTAGATGCTTGGGATATCTTATTGTCAAAGTTAGAAGATTT